AACAGCTGCATGTATTGAAGAACATATTTTCTGCAGCTTATAAATAAGATGCTGAATCTTATTATAATATCCATATCTTCGTAATCTTAAAACAAGCTCCTGTGAACCTCAGGGGCTGACCCACCCCACCGGGTCACCGGGTCAGCTGACCCACCCCACTGGGTCACCGGGTCACCGGGTCAGCTGACCCACCCCACCGGGTCACGGGGTCACAGGGTCACCGGGTCAGCTGACCCACCCCACCGGGTCACCGGGTCACCAGGTCACCGGGTCAGCTGACCCACCCACCGGGTCACCGGGTCACCGGGTCAGCTGACCCACTCCTCCGGGCCACCGGGTCACAGGGTCAGCTGACCCACCCCACCGGGTCACCAAGTCAACGGGTCACCGGGTCAGCTGACCCACCTCATCGGGTCACCGGGTCACTGGGACAGCTGACCCACCCCACCGGTTCACCGGGTCACCAGGTCACCGGGTCAACTGACCCACCCCACTGGGTCACCGGGTCAGCTGACCCACCCCACTGGGTCACCGGGTCACCGGGTCAGCTGACCCACCCCACCGGGTCACGGGGTCATGGGTCACCGGGTCAACTGACCCACCCCACCGGGTCACCGGGTCACCGGGTCGCCGGGTCAGCTGACCCACCCCACCGGGTCACCGGGTCACCGGGTCAGCTGACCCACCACACTGGGTCACGGGGTCACCGGGTCAGCTGACCCACCCCACCGGGTCACCGGGTCACCGGGTCAACTGACCCACCCCACCGGGTCACCGGGTCACCGGGTCAGCTGGCCCACCCCACCGGGTCACCGGGTCAGCTGACCCACCCCACCGGGTCACCAGGTCACCGGGTCAACTGACCTACCCCACCGGGTCACCGTGTCGCCGGGTCACTGAGTCAACTGACCAGCCCCACCGGGACACCATGGTCACTGGGTCAATTGACCCCTGGAGCCACCAGGTCACCGGGTCACCAGGGTCACCGGGTCACCGGATCACACGGTCGCCGAGCCACCGGGGCACGGGTCGGGTCGCCGAGTCGGTCACCGGGTCACCAAGTCAGCGGGTCATCACCGGGTCAACTGACCCAGCCCGCCTGGTCACCAGACAACCAGGTCAACTAACCCACACAGCTGAATCACCGGGCCACTGTCGTCATCGACATCATCACCATCATCTTCCGCCTCATCATCATCATCATCATCATCATCATCATCCACGTCGTCGTCATCATCATTATCATCGTCATCACCATCATCATCATTTTCATCTTCCGCCTCATCATCATCATCATCATCATCATCATCATCATCATCATCATCATCATCATCATCATCATCATCATCATCATTATCACCACGATCATCCGCATCATCATCATCATCATCATCATCATCATCATCATCATCATCATCGTCATCATCATCATCAGAGTGTGGTCTGGGGGTGGGTTCCTTCTCGGCGGGTTCAAAGTAATGACAAAAACCCATCTTAAGATATGGGTCACCGGGTCAGCTGACCCACCTGGGCGGCGTTTCCTCTTTCCAAGGGTTGAGCCCAACCAGACGTACGTGGAAATTTTTGGGGGGGCGGGGCCTTTTCCTTCCCTGGGTTGTGGCCGTCGGCTACGCAAGCCCGCGTAGCAACTTCGAGCCAAGGGCCCTCGCGATACCTGGTAGGCTTGCGCGCGTAATTGTATATGTCACGCGTGTTCTTTGTTTTCCGTGCGTTTTTTGATTCTTTTTTGTTGCGTTCTCGCCTTTGCGGGCTTCTGCCAATTCAAGGCGGCTTCAGAGGCCTCCAAGACGGCCTCAAGATGGCCCGCGAAGGCCATCCAACGCCTCCAATCTTGGGAAACATGCCTCTAAAACGGCCCGAGGAGGCCTCAAGACGGCCCAAGAGACGCCCGAAACAGCACTAAAGGGCCGCAAGAATGCCCAGAGAGGCGCCCAAGACAGACTCCAAAGGCGACAGACGGCCCAAGAGCGGTGTTGCAAGACTGCCCAGTGGACCCCCAAGGGGCCCCCAAAGGCAAGAGTCCCCAAGAGGTTCCAAGAAGGGAGACGGGGACTGCATGAAGGGGCGGCGACGACGAAGACGAGAAGAGTCATCCCGGCACGACACGGGACAGCCTGTCACATGCTACGTGCCAATCAGGGCTAGGGCCGAAAAGGTCCTCGTCCTGCTCCTCGTTCCGTTCCGTAGCGGCTCGAAGCGTGCCCGTCTGTGGAAGGGATCATGCGCCAGAATAGGGAAAAGGCGTGGGACAGGAGGAGGAAGAGAAGAGAGGGGGGGACTTGTGGCGGCTCAAGCCAGCTTCGCAATGCTCCCTGGACAGAGGCCCAACCAACCAATAGGCAGGGGCGTCCGCATGGTCCAGTCTCTGGCCCTTACCTGCACGGCCCCTGGTGGCCTCCGCGTCCCGCCTGTCCTGGTCCGCTACCACGGTATCTGGCAATCTCTCCTCCTCCTCCTCCTCCTGAAGCTCCTCCTCCTCCTCCTCCTCCTCCTGGGGACGACAAGTGCCACACGTAAGCGGCCTTATTCCTTCTCCTCCTCCTCGTCCACCTCCTCCTCCCGTTCTCCCCCTCCTCCTCCTCCTCCTCCTCCTCCTCCGTTTCTGTTAAGATCATTAGGGTCCTCTTCTTCTGCTTCCTCCTCCTCCTCGCATTCGGAGCGAAAAGTGCCACATGTGACTGCCTTCTCCTCCTCCTTCTCCTCCTCCTGCTCTCCATCTCTATTCCTTCTGAATAACTTCTCCCTGTCGCACCCCCTTGACGTGTCGGTAGGGCTGGACGGACATTTCGCATGCCACTTCCCCACTATGTGTGATCCTGACGCTTGAAATTTACAGCAATTTCACAAATGGAGGGCGTGCTGTGCGCGTGTTGGTTCCAAAATGTGGCTGTCGACGTAGCTCCGCGCACATGTGTCTTAGAAACTTGCAGCCGTTTCACGGATAACTGGCGGGCCGTCATCAAAATGTGGCTATCGCAATAGCGCCGCGCACATCCGTCCTGAGAGTTCGCAGCAACTTCCAAGATGGAGGGCGGCTCGTTTTCAACAGGTTGTTCTCGCCTTAGCGCCGCGCAAGTTCATCTTTACATTTGCCCGCAATTTCAAGGACTCGTATTGTGGAAGTCCCGGGAATTTTGTTCTGGCGCAACTTAGGATTGCCAGGACGCAGTAGTTACGCCGATTCGCTATGTTGAAATCCCAGGAACTGTGCTCTGGCAAGGTCGAGTATTGTCAGTACGCAGCAGTCACGCTAATTCGCGGTGCTGACATCCCTGGAAAGGTGTTTTGGCACGACTGAAGATTCTCAGGCGATTGTCCTCCATTGGGGCACTTCCCGCAGTACAAGCAAATTCTTGTAGGGACCTGTGAAAAGGGAACTTGGAGAAACGGTTTATTGCAACATCCTTTATGCGTCTTGGGTTTACACAGGTCCTCCTCCTTCTCAACTTCCCCGTCCTGCTTCTGGGGACAACAGGTGTCACATGTGACGGCCTTCCTCGTCGTCCTCCCCCTCCTCCTCCACTTCCCCCTCCTCCCCATCCTCCGTCCACTTTTTCCTTCTCCTCGTCCTCTTCCTACTCCTCTTCCCAGGGTCGACACGTGTCGCATGCGACGGCCTTCCCGGCGGTGCTCGGAAGGTCGCCACGCAAAAACTTGCGCCGCCACGGTGGCGGGACTTGCCGCAGACAGCCGGATGAGGGAGTCTGAGTACGGGTGGCGTATGGGTATGAGTGAGGCTGGAGGGAGGAGGGAAAAGAGGTAAGGAAGAGGATGAGGATGACGCGCGACAGTACTCAACCAAAGACGGATGGTTTGGGGAGAAGCGAGGAACGAGGGGGTGGAGTGTGTCCAATTCAACCCTGGAAGCCCGCGTCGGCTTCGCCGCTGCGTCGAGGCGGCGTGAATCTGCTGGGGCCCAATGTCGCTCGGAACGGATCCCTGGAACCCTCCCGGACACAATCCCGACAAGCTTCTCGAGCCGCGCCCAGCCGTGGGCACGATCGAGGGCCGCCCCAGAAACCTCAAAGGCCAGAACTTTCATCTCGAAACGCTCAGCCCTGAACGCCCGCGGCGGCATCGCCGCCACGCGGAGGCAGCGCGAATCTTCCGAAGACCTCCGAGCTCCAGAGTTCCCTGGAGGCGTTCCGAGGTATCTGGAATCCAAAGGCCCTGCGAAGGCTCCGATCAGGCCCCCATACGGTTGGCGTTGGTAAGATAGGGTGCGATATCGATCTCCGAAAAGCCCGCTGTCCCTGTGAGGCGATCCCCCCGCGAGAGCCCCTTCTGTGCGCGCCATCCCCCCGCCAAGGCTTCTTCGGTGCACGCTACCCTCCAAGTAAGGGATCGCGTGTAACAAGCGAGCCGGCGGCGCCACATCGCACGCTATCTTTCCAACGCCAACTGCAATCTGCAATTGGGGGCTTTGATAAACCAGGACGCTGGCGAGCCCGACAGCCGAAGGCCGTAACACCACTCCGCTCTCTGCACTAATTCTCTGGCCAGATGTTCTCAAACCCTTAGCCTGCAGTCAGTGTCCCTGTTTTCTGGGCAATACCGCACTGGGGCGTGCTGGGGCCAGCGCGAACACCTTCCCAGGGTACCCCGGGCAGGTACCCCGGGCAGGTACCCCGGGAAGGTGTTTGGGTTGGCTTGGGCCGGCAGGGTCCCCCTGTAAGGTGTTTGGGCCAGGGGAACTGCCCGGGGCAGGGTCCGCACCAACACCGACCGCACCGGGGCGTCCTGGGGCCAGCGCGCTAGCAAGAACCTTCCCGAGGCACCCCGGGGCAAGTCCCCGCGGTACCCCAGGATGCTTTTGGGCCGGCCTGGGCTGGCTGCCGTGACGGCTTGCGGAGTCCCTCGAAGGCCCTCGGGGCGGCGCGAGCCTGCCGTGCGCAGCCTCGCCGCCTCGCCTGCTTCGAGGGCCAGGGCGCGGGGCGGGGCGGCGGCGCGCCCCCGCGCGCGCGCGGGGAGGCGGCCGCCGAGCTGGCGCTGCGCAGCAGGTTGTCCTTCGGGGGTGCCGCCAGGGGAGGGGGAAGACAGAATGGGGCCAGGGGGAGGGGGGAGGGGGGGGGGGGCTGGCAGGGGCAGGGAGGGGGAGGGGGAGGGAAGGGAAGGGAGGGGGGATGGAGTTCTGTTCGCCGGGCGGGCCATGCCTGGAGAGGTGCGAGGGGGGAAGGAAAGGGGTAGAGGAGGGAGGGGGGGAGGAGGAGCGCCGAGCACTCACGGGCCCTTGATGCTGGCCAGCACGGCGGCGATCGCGTCCGAAGCAGCAGCAAGGAGAGGATTTCGCTGGCTCTGGATATGTTGCAGCTGTTGTTTCCCCACGTGTTACGTGGGGTTCTGGTTTTCATCCCTGCCGCGTCGCACCCGCGTCTCACTCACCTCCCCTCCTCCTCCTTCCTGCCTCACCCACGCGCAACACATACACGGAATGTACATGAGACACGCGTGTACATGCACACGCTCGCATACACACCATAGAACGCCAGTGCACGCCTGGCGTGTTCACTGCATCATACACCCGAGACGTATGCACAACATACTGGGCACCCACATGAGGCACACGCCCACATCCAGCCTGGCACCCAGTGCGTGTTGTTCCACACATGCTTGGTGTTTTTGTTCCCACATGTTTCGTGGGGTTCTGATTTTCATCCCTGCCGCGTCGCACCCGCGTCTCCCGCACACACACACACACATCCTCTCCCTCCTCCTTCCTCCCGTCCTCCACTTCCTTCCTCCCTTCACCCACACGCAACCCATGCACGCCACGTGCAGCAGACACATGTCTACATGCAGCCGCACGCATGCACACACTCACACACACAACATACACCATACAACGCTAGTGCACGCCTGGCGTGTTCACTGCATCATACACCCAAGACGTATGCACCACATACTGGGCACCCACATGAGACACACGTCCAGATACGGCCGCACACGCATCATACATATACACATGGCACGCCATACACAAAACACACGTGTAGGATGCGCAGGGCACGGCAAGCGCGGCACTTTCTCGCCACTAGAAGGGGTGCGCAAGGGGTGGTCCTTCAGCGTGGTCTCTATACGCGCCAATGTCGCAGGGCCCAGCAGGCGTGGCACTTTCTCGACACCAGACGGGTTGCGCAAGAGGTGGTTCCTCAGCGCGGTCTCTATACGCGCCAATGTCGCAGGGCCTAGCAGGCGGGGCACTTTCTCGACACCAGAGGGGGTGCGCATGGGGTGGTCCCTCAGCGCGGTCTCTATGCGCGCAAATGTCGCAGGGCATAGCAGGCGTGGCACTTTCTCGACACCAGAGGGGGTGCGCAGGGGGTGGTCCCTCAGCGCGGTCTCTATACGCGCCAATGTCGCGGGGCGTGGCAGGCGTGGCACTTCCTCGACACCAGAGGCGGTGCACAGGGGGTGTGCCGTCACCGCGGTTTCCATACGCGCCAGTGTCGCAAGGGCTAGCAGGCGTGGCACTTTCTCGACACCAGAAGGGGTGCGCAGGGGGTGGTCCCTCAGCGCGGTCTCTATACGCGTCAATGTCGCAGGGCCTAGCAGGCGTGGCACTTTCTCGACACCAGACGGGGTGCACAGGGGGACGCGGTGGGGACGGTGCCGCACGGTGCCTGCCTGGTGATGCTTGGCTGCGCCTCAAGGGTCGGCCGAGCCTGGCTGTTGCCAGCCGCCCGCGAGGTGTCCTGGGCACAGGTCCAGCGGCAGATGGCGTCGCTCTGCTGGTCTGCAGATGCCCGGGAGGGGGGAGGGGCAATGTGGACCTGGGCTGCCTTTCATCGGAGAAGGTCTGCTATTCTCTCTTACAGTGATCCTCCGGCCCCGTACCCTCGGCGGCGACGCGGGCATTACACGTATTCGCCCGGGAGCCTTTTCGAAGACATCGACCATCGGCACCCCTGGATACATGTACTGCTCCCCCCTGGGCTATTCATTCGCCCCTATCGTCGCTTCCGATCCCCGCGTGGAGGACCCTGGACGTCTCCAGAAGGCCCCGGCGGAGTCCCATGGGGCCTTCGTGCCCGCTCGACAGAGGGGTATCAACCCAGTTGCACATGCCAGTCGATTTGGCTGGGGTGATGGTCGAGAGATACCTTTGCGGTGCCGAGGTGAATCGACCGTCCCCCACACGAACCGCCATCTCGTCTAGGCGGCGAATCACGGGGCGACGAGGCGTTTGCCTATTCCCATGCCCGTTTGGTGTGCTCCGTACCTGCGAATGAGCGGCTACCCCCCTGTGGGAGGCTAGGGATGATCGGTTTGTCTCGGGAGAGCACCGCTTCACTTCCTGGATTTCATGACTGCGTGACTCCTCCTCCTCGTCGTCCTCCTCCTCCTCCTCCTCCTGCCTCCCCCTCCTCCTCCTCCACCTCCTCCTCCTCCTCCTCCTCCTCCCACGGCAAACGACGACGACGACGGCAAGGGTCCCGGCTCTTGTCCATGGACTGGAGGCCCCCGGGCTCCTGCTTCTTCCTCAGGCGCCTCGGAGCATCCCACAGAACAATCTGAAGGGAAGCGCGAGGATGGAAGATCGAGATTCTTGGAGTTTCCTGGCTCTTTCCAAACCCCTGGAAGCCTCCAGGGAGCTCCAAGAATCTCCAGAAACTCCTGGCGATCTCCAGAGAGCTCCGAGGAATCCCAAACCTCTTGCGACTCGAGTAAGTCGCACCGGAAGTCTGCCGTCATTTTTGGCGTCGGGGGGGCGTTTCTGGGCCCCATCACAGTCAAACCCCAATCTGGATGAAAAGGCTGGTCCCAAGGAGCGGGTCGAGATGTCCATGTGCGGCGACTCGAAGACCTCGAGTCGTCGGACGGAGGGGGGGCGCCCTGACATCTGATCGTCGTGGAAACCATGTTGTTACGGTCCATGATATGGGCCCCAGAGCCCTGATGCACTGACATGGGTAGGAATACCCACGAACCGCGATGTGGCCGAGAGCTCCACTCGTTCCTTTGCGACGTCGTTTTCTTTCACGTCGGACGTCGGGGGGAGCGGGAGGCATGGCATGGTGAAATGGTAACCTCCACATTCCACAGGGCATCGCCACATGCTCCCGCGTATGTCCACTGTGCTCATCCGCTCACGAACTCTCCGAAATGCCTTCCAAGCGCTTCCACACATCTCCGCACGGCCCCCAGGTACACTGGGGAAATAAACACCCATAGCATGCACAACTTTTAGCACTCCGCGATTGTTTGTTCGAGCCCGCGCGCGTATTGCACACCGTTTGCGTCAAACATGTTGTCTCCTTCGAACGGGCTTCCAATGATAACATGCATGCTGGCGCGTCATAAACCAAATTTGCCACCGTCCGTCACATGTGCCCGTAATTTCACAGTGCGCCTGCAACATTGCGATTGACTCATGGATGGGTGGTATGTGCGCGCAAGCTGCATTGTGCAACACATTTTCACTGTAAACTAAGACCGTATCATTCTTTTCATCAGGAAGCGCTCGAGATCTGCCTTCTGCGCTCCCTGTAATGCCCTCCATCCTCGAATCAGTATGCGTCGCGCGCCACACCCCATACTCTTCAATTGGCAACGCCCATACTCTCCTCAATGCTTTATGGCTTACAATCGCGCGCGCTTCGCGTGCACTCGAACTCTACCTGTACTGGGTTCTCGCGTACAGGACGGAAGAATGGCCATACCCAGGAATCGGGAAACTTGGGGCTTCGACGCCAACGCGCTCGTTTCTGAGGGGGGAAGATCAAGGTAATTTTCGGGTTCGGGTGCGTGGTGTGCAGATCCGCCACCATGCCCCTACGCCTCCTGACTTTGTATTTGTGCGACTTCTGGTCCCATCCACATACCTCCAATCTCAATGTTGAGGAAGCCGCGGCCGACGGCAAAACGTAGAATCGCGCGGCACCCCTGCGTGAACATTGGCATTGCGGGGCGCGGGGGGGCGGACACTGTGCGAGAGTTGCCTTACCTTTGCAGGGCAGGGTAGGCACAACGTGGAGTGACCTCATGCCCCTTCGAGCTTCCTGTATTGAGCTTCCTGTATTGGGGGGCCCCAAGCCCTTGATTTCCAGAATTCTTGGGCGCTCCTGAGCGCTCCTTTTTCTTGGGTCTTGATGTCCCTGATGCCTTGGGGAAGGTCGTTCGGAACCCAAGCGGGAGGATCCCACGACTGCCCAACAGAGCTCCAAAAGTTCCCCAAGATGAAACATATGAGCCCTCAAGGCAACCTCAGAAGACGCCAGCGGTCCTGAGGGCGACCTACGACGGCCCAAGGGGGCCCAACGAGGCCCTAAAGATAGCACAACTTGCTCGAAGAGCCCCATGATGAGCGCAGAAAGCCACTCCCAATTGTTCTCCCAATGTTTTCCCCGCTGCTTTGCCCCCTCCCGTTCCGTCGCCATTTTGGCTCAAGCAGCGCCGCGCGTCGGGCCGCGCGCGGGGGGCCGATCCGAGCGCCCAGGGGCTGGACCAGCATCGCGCTGTGCTCGGCTTGAGCGCCACTCGTGTCTGGGTGGTGAACGCCTGTGATCATTATTTTACGAATTGCTGTCCGTACGCTTCTTGAAGGGTGCCGTGTTGCATACGCCTCTTTGTACCTCAGGACCTGGTGAGTTCGGAGCTCCTGCGGAAGATCACCGAGTTTGAGTTCGACGTGGAGGTTGAAGTGGACGTCGTTGTGGTCAACAATGACTTCGCCCACGACCTTCTGGCGAGGTACGGAGTCGGTGCTGTTCAAGCGGGAGAGCGGGGACTTCGTCAAGATCCCGCTGCCGCCGGCGCCCCCGCTGTTGAAAGGGCCTTTGCTGGTACCGCCTCCGCCACCGCCCTCGAGTACGGGTCGCAGCTGTTCGACCCCCTGCAGGCCTACGGTGCCCAAACTCCGCGTGAAGAGCAAGAATTCGTTCAAGAAGAAGAAGAAGTACGGCAACATGCACAAGGATCACAAGGATCCGAAGAAGAAAAAGAAGAAGACGGAGAGGAAGAAGAAGGTCGACCCGAAGTCGCCGCTGCCGAAAATGTGGTGGACGCTGACGGGCAAGCAGATCATTGCCCCTCCGCTGCCTACTGCACGAATGTGCTCGCCGGTGAGGTCCAGCAGTTCAACATTTTCAGTGACAAGGGCTCCCGCCTGAGGAAGTCCAAGGCCATGAACCGCAAGAAGAAGAAGAAGGACAAGCAGGTGATAGAACCGCAGCTGGAGGTGCCCGCCTCCATCGCAGCTTCATCGTCTCCTGCTGGTGGTAATGCGCATCCTGCTCTACCCTTTTCGGGTACGTGTGAGCTCAGGGCGGAAAATTTGGCTGTTACTTCGACGGCTACTTCTTGGGCTTCTGCTTACGGTGCTCCCTCCACGGTGTACACGGCTAGCGAGATGTCCTGGGCCTCTCCCGCGCTGCTCGCCAAGCTGCGGCTGCCGGGCCACGTGTGCCCAGACTGAGCCAACGACCTCATGCAGGAGAGGTTCACGTACGAGTTCTTGGATTTCATTTTAGATTACCAGTTCTTCGACGGCTTCTAGCTCTTTCGGCTCAACTTCCTCCTCTTCCGCCTGGCCCTCTGAGCCAGCAGTCCTGTCGCCCGATCGCCTCGGCAGCTCGTGCGTGCAGTGGTCCGCAGCAAAAACAAGCTTTGCTCCCTCCCCCAGCCCCTCGCGTTCCACTAACTGGCAATGAGAAAAAGAGAGGAGAGAAGAAGGGAGAAGCGGAGGGTGCACGGACAACACATGAGGACGGGGATGACAGAAGGAGACGGGAGGAATGTGATGAATGCGGTTGTTAAAAGGATGTTGCATAGTGGTAACGATGGGAACGGTGAGGCGCGTCAGGGTAAAGATGCACACCAGGATGCATATGCCGATTCTGATGATGCTGCTGATGAAGAGGAGGTGATGCTGCTGCTGATGCTGCTGCTGCTGATGAGGATGATGGTGATACTAACTACCATGAGGACGTTAACGATTCTGATGCTAAAGCCTGAGAGGGGTGATTGTGATGCGAAGCGGGGCGGAAAACGATACGACAGAGAAACAGTCTGATGGCGAAACATGAACATGGGGATGACGGTGACGATAAGGATGCGGCAAGGGACAACAAAGAAACCAGCACAACCTATTTTCTTCTAGACAACGAATGCGGTAACCACCTTCCCAATTGTATTGTAAGAGCGCGCTTCGGGCACCCAGAACGCGACACATTGCCGCCCGAATGTCGTGCCATGCCGTGTCTGCGTGCCGCGACGTGCGCGTGCCATACCCGCGCACCGTGCGTGACACCTAGACTGCGAAACATATGCCGTGCCGTGCCCCCATTTCGTGCTGTGCGTGAGCCCTATAACGCGAACGATGTGCTGCGCCATTCCGTGCCCGCGTGCCGTGCCGTGCCCGCATGCAATGTCGTGTGACTGCCGTGCGTGATTTCTAGAATGCGAACACATGTGCCATGCAAAACCGTGTCCGCGTACCGTGCCGCGCGCGTGCCGAATCTGACTTCTAACATGCGAAACATACGCCATGCCGTGCTCCGTGTGCCGTGCCGTACGCGCGCTGTGCCCGCGTGCCGTGTCTGAAATTTAGGATGAGGGAAGTTTGCCGTGCAAAGCAATGCCATGCTCGCGTGTCATGTCGAACGCGAACCACGCTGTGCCCGCGTGCCGTGCTGTACCCGCGTACTGTGACGTGGACGTGCCGTATCCGCGTGCCGTGCGTGTAATCCAGAACGCGGAAAAAGAACACTGCCGTGCCCGCGTGGCGTGCCATGCGTGCGCCGTGCGTGAACTCTATACCGCGAACCATGTGCCGTGTCACGTCGTGCCCGCATGTCGTTGTGTGCGCGTGCCGTGCCAAAATTCTAGAATGCGAAAAGTGTGCCGTTACATGCCGTGTCCGCATGCCGTGCGCGTGCCGTGCTCGCGTGCCATGCCGTGCGCGAAATCTGCACTGCGACAAATGTGCCGTGCAAGCCATGCTCGCGTGCCCTGCTGGGCCGTGCGCTTGCCATGTCTGAATCCTGGAATGTGAATAATGTGTCGTGCCGTGCCCACGTGCTGCGCCGTGCGCGCGCCGTGCCCGCGTGCCGTCATGCCCGCGTGCCGTGTCGAACGCGAACCGTGTCGTGCCCGCGAGCCGTGCCGTGCTCGCGTGCCTTGACGTGCACGTGCCATGCCCGCGCGCGGTGCGTGAAAGCGTCCCGAGTTGCCCCAAGTGAGCTCCAGGACGGTCCTACGAGAGCACAAGAGGGCCAAATAAGGCACACGGTGTCTTCAAGATGGCCCCAAGACGCCGCAAGAGGCCTCCAAGATGACCCGGCATGAGCCCACAGGGCCCCGAGCCAGTCCAGAGATGACCGCGTGAGAGCCTCACGGCGGAGGGGGAAGAGGAACAGTATTGGGAGAGGAGGATGAAGAGGAGGAGGAGGAGAAGGAGAGGAAGGGGAGGCGGAGGAGGATGAGGAGAAGGATGAGGAGGAGGAGGAGGTGGAGGTGAAGGGAGAGGAGGGCGAAGGATAGGATAGGAAACAGAGGTGAAGTGGCGGGGATGGAGGCTTGCTGTTGCCCCATCATTCATCCTTCCCTCATGCCTCCTCTCCCTCCATCTCTCTTACCTCTCCCATTGGACTTCCTCCATGCTCTCTTGACCCTCCTCCCTTCTCCGCACCCCCGAGTCACACGAATGAGGAGGAGAAGGTGTGGGAGGAGAGGGGGCGCGATCGGAGATGAAATCACCACTCTCGTCTTTCTTCTGCTACCCTGGCATAGAGACCCTAACCAGCAGGGCTGCTTGAGAAACACATTGTATCTGAAAACTCGGCACAGCACACGGACACGGGCACCGCACACGAGACGTCGTGAGCCTGTCTGTGGCCGTCTCGGGGCCCTTTTGGGTGGTCTTGGGCTCCTCCAAATGCCTGCTGCGGCCCTCTCGGGGCAAATCCTGGTCATCTTGGGACTGTCTTGAGGCCCTTTCGGGCGCTCCTTATCTCCTCCGATGGTCTCTGGGAATCATCTGGGGCTGAAATCTGGGAATGCCGAAAACGCTCACACTCAAGACAACAATGTTTCCCGCGAGTCGTCATGCCGATACAATGCGTCGCTTCGGTGCTCTCTTTTCCTGCGGCTGTGACCTGGGTCGCGGCGCCCGGTCTGGGCAGTTCCTTCAGGGCCAGAAGCGTCCCAGAACCTCCGACAGCCCGAACGAGGACAACGACGACGACGACGACGCCGACGACGACGACAACGACAACGAGAGGGCGACAACGACGTCGACGACGACGACGAGAAACAAGTCGTCGATGACGACGTCGTCGACGACGACGGCGTTGTCGATCGTGGCGAAGACGAGAGCGTGTGCCGCGGCCGCGGAGGTGGTGCCGCGGCGGTGGCGCCCCGCCTGCCCTCGGATCCCCGCAGGCCCTCGTGGTGGGAGACCTCGACGGTGTACCTCCGGCGCGGCAGGAGCGGGGACGGAAAGGGGGGCGGGGAAGGTGGGGGGTGGGGGTGGGGGGGCGGCTTTTCCTCCTCCTCCTCCTCTTTCTCCTCCTATTTCATTCCTCTTCTTCATAGAGAACTCCTCCCTGTCGCACCCCGAGGGCGGTCGAAAGGACGGGCCGGGCGTTTCGCCTGAGACCCCTCACGATTTATGATCCTGAAACTGAGACGTTGCAGCAATTTCACGGGTGGAGGGCGGGTGGTTTAACATGTGTTTCTCGCCTTAGCGCCGCGCACATTCGTCTGAATCAATTGCAGGAGTTTCGCTGGTGGAAGGCGGGCCGTTTCCAAAATGTGGCTCTCGCATTTGCGCCGCGAACATGTGACATAGAACATTGCAACAATTTTACGGATGGAAGGAGGCCCGTCTTCAAAACATGGTCCCAGGGCAATTCTCAAACTATTGTTGCCGCTGTAGCGCCGCGCATATTCGTCTTCAACAGTTGTAAAGGTTTCACGGATGGAGGCGGGCCGTTTTCAATATGTGGCTCTCACCTTAGCGCCGCGCACATTCGCCTTCAGAGTCTGCAGCTGTTTCAAGGATTCTCCGGGTTAACGTCTCAGAAATGGCGTGTTAGGCGCAATGTCGGAATGCCATGGCGCAACAGTCACGTTGATTCGCTGTGTTAAAGTCCCAGGGAAAAGTGTTTTGGCACGAGTCAGGATCACCAAGACGCAACTGTAGCGGTGATTCACGGTGTTGAAATCCCAGGAATGGTGTTCGGGCGCAGTTCCGGATTTTCCAACGGTTGTTTTCCAGCGGGGCACTTCTTCAGTGAGCATGAACCCTTGTAGGGGCATGTGAAGAGGGAACTTGGAGGCAGGGCTTATTGTAATCTCGTTGATACATCTTGGGTTTACACTGATCCTCCTCCTCCCTCTCCTACTCCTCCTCCTTCTCCTCCCACTCGCCCTTCTTCTCCTCCTCTTCCTTCTCCTCCTCGTGCTCCTTCTGCTGTTCCTTCTCCTGATGGGGGCAGGGGGTGACGGGACGGCGGGGGGGGGGGGACAGGGGGGGGGGACGGGGGGGGAGGAAAGGAGGAGGAGGGAGCAGTTCCAGCGGGCACGGAGTCCGATTCTCGAGGGGCAGGAGGAGGAGGAGGAGGAGGAGGAGGAGAGGAGGAGGAGGAGGGAGGAGGAGGAGGAGCGAAGGAGGAGGAGGAGGAGAAGGAGGAGGGGGATGATGATGATGATGATGATGATGATGATGAGGAGGAGGAGGAGGAGGAGGAGGAGGAGGAGGAGGAGGATGAGGAGGAGGAGGAGCAGGAGGATTGGCTGGGGGGGGGGGGGGGGAAGAGGAGGAGAAGGAGAAAGTGAGGGAGGTGGAGGGGAATGAGGCTAGGTGGCGAGGGTGGATGAGGAGCGGGATGAGAGGGACAAGGAGGAGGAGGAAGGGTACATTGATATCTGGGGGGCCCTCGTGGGCACGGCTGGTCGCAGTTCGAAAATGAGCTCGGGGGTCGAACGAATGGGCGGGAGGAAGTCCCGCGCCCATGGATGACCATGCTCTTCTGCAGTCCCCTGGGGAGGAGGAGGAGGAGGAGGAGGAGGAGGAGGAGGAGGAGGAGGAGGAGGAGGAGGAGGAGTAGGAGGAAGAGGAGGAGGAGGAAGAGGGGGACGAGGAGGTGGCAAAAGAGGCAAAGGAACGCACGTCCAATGGGAATGCCGTCAAACTACCGACGAACGAAAACAACATGTTGTGTTGAAGTATGGAAGTGCTGCAAGCTCGGCGCGGATTGTTATGGAAAAAAAACCGCCACACTGACAACATTGTGGGCAATCCCGATCGGGAGATCGGTGCCGTTACACTCCCTCCTCGGTCCCGAAGCCAAGCCACATAAAGGAGGGGACTGTGGGGATGTGCGTGCGGGGCAAGGCAATGAGGCGAAGCAAACAAGGGCAGGAGAGGCAGTGGATGAACGAATCGAGGTGGTCAGTGCTGCCAAATCTGCACGTCACTGGCGTGAGAAGTTTAACCCTGCGGCTGGCGATCCACCTTCCAGCGAGGGCTTTAAGGTGAGACCGCACTTTGCACGGCTAAGAATGTGACAAGACCTGGCGATGTGCGAACCACCTTGTCCGCACAGAGGCAAAAGCTAGGGGTTCGGGAGTGAATCACGCCTTAAGCCTCCGAGTTATCAGCTCATGGAATCGATCTGGGAATTCTGATCGCATGAGCTGGGAGATGAGCTGAGGCGCCTTGAGGTCCACGCCACCCCCGGCCACTTCCCAGACGCCCACGACCCCGACCGCCCCAACCTCTGGCGGCTCCAGCAGGCCGCCGAACGGCGGCTGCCATAATTGCGAGCTATCGGAGGCTGCCCTCCCCTGGCAACGGGGCGTCCTGTGAGCCACCTTCAGCATCGATTGCTGCCTGAATTCGAGCCGCTGGAAATTGGAGGTCGCGGCAGCCTTGATTGAACTGTCGATCGTATATTAGCACGCCTCGATCCTGCATGGGTGCAGAAAAAGAAACCTTCTGCGCACGCGCATGTGTAGGCCGTGGATGCCCCCCCCACCACCACCAGTCAATACCACTCCCAGTGCTTCGATGAGTGCGTAGACGCGCGCCAGATGCAGCCGCCAGACTATACTTGAAACTGCAACTGAAACTGAAATGGGGCGGAGCGCTGCGTGGGTCTTGGTACTGCCTCCGCGCACTGCACGGAGGAAGAGAAGAAGGGGGGAGGGAGGACGGGAGGGGAGAGAGGAAGGATAAGACGACAACTTAACCTCAAGCGCCGCTCATCCCGCGCCCTCGCTCGGTTCAAAGCTCTCACGCACACATCGCCGTCACCAAATCCGCCAGCTTCCTGGCTTAAGCCTGCTGTGTTGTTGGCCCGCGTCAGGGGTGTACATGCGCTTGATCTTTTCGGCGACTCTGTTGAATAATCGGCAGTCCATAGGGGGCGCGAAAAAGGAACTATTGAACTCCGACTCTACAGTGCCATCGACCGCGACATTCACAATCACACGCATGTGCTCGTCATCAAACTCCCTTCTTCTCGACGTCCTGCTTCTCGGTGGGCTCGGTCTTCTCGTTAACAGGTCGACCCAAGCTGGGCCCGACGCCTCCTGCGCGTCCTCCTGTGTGTCCAAATAATCACCTAATCGCCCTCGCGCAAGCCGTCCCCGTCCAGGCCCCGGCGTCCGTCGTGGAATCTCGGATGGTCGCCATGCCGCGTCCACTGAGCCCACCGCGAAGACAGCTGGGCCGCGACCAACATGCCCTTGAGTTTCTGCAGCTCGGCCTCCCTCCTCACGATGGCTGCCTTCCTGCGCGACGCCTGGAATGCCGAGGGAGATGCCGATCGCAATTATTTGGGCACTCCGAAAAAGTCGGGCAGGGGAAAGGCACTGGGAGGGAGGCGAAGGAGTTCGTGGAGGGCGAAATATTCCTGGCGAGTAATTTCTCAGCACAGCGGGAACAAACGGAACAAAACAAGGAGGATGAGGAGGAGGAGGAGGAGGAGGAGGAGGAGGAGGAGGAGGAGGAGGAGGAGGAGGAGGAGGAGAGGGAGGAGGGGGAGGAGGAGGAGGACGAGGAGACAAGGGACAAGAAGCCCCAGGATCCATGGAATTTTCACTTACACAGCAAAAGAAATCAAACACATACATACATCATGCACAAGATATCAGACGTTTGGATCTGGGTGGCCGCGAATGGGAGGTATGCTTATCCGCCCTGCAGGTGGGGAACACTTGGGCCGAAGGACCGCCCGGGCGGTGCTGGCCGCTTAGATAGGGGCCCCTGGCGCTGCCCATCATCCACAGAGAAGACGTCCAAAACTCAAGCTCAAAAAATTGAAAGAACCTTCGGGGCAGGCCTCGGGCAGTAGACCGCAAGAGAGGGGAGGACACGGCAGGGGACGGAGGCTGCCGCTCCGGAGCGACCTCCGCTACTGCCCTTGGCCCGACCTGGAGGCTTAGCTCGGGGCTGCGCTACAAGTAACTCTGCCCACATCCCGAGGACTCCCCTGGAACTGAAACCGGCTCGCATCCCGAGGGCAAATCGAAAGCGATAAACCTCGCGGCTCCTCGCCACTAAGCTCTCTGCTCTACAGGCTACGATACCCCGCGAGCCTGCGACTCTAGAATATGTTGGCCACCTACAAGCGCTGGCGGCACAGAGGCGGGATGCTTCCCCTCAGAAGCTGTCGCTCCTGATCGCAACACCCATGCGCCACTGCCCGACATCGATGTCACTTCTGGTAGCGCTCGAGCAGCCGAGCGGCATCCCTCTCCAATGAGCCATCTGGCGCTGCCCCGTGTTTGCGCACTCCCCTACTCGCCGTGGGGCGCGTCTCGATCGGGACTTCGAACTCTCGATGCTAGCTGTCGATCGCGAGGATAATGCGGTGCAGTCCGGGTTCATTCTCGACTTTCTTGGCGGGGCGCACTCTGCACGCTCTGACTTCGTTCGCAAGCTCGACCACTGGCTTTTTCGTTATCATTTAGATCAATTCTGCTCGATCTTGCCCTTCGCTCCCGGCGGGCAAGCTGGGTCTGTGCCTGTCCCGTAGATCGGCGCGCTCCATGCGTGCAGGAACGGGGGGCCCTGGATCCTCCTCCTGTCCCGTCTCGGACATCTCCTGAACTTTGGAATGGCATGCTACTCCTGCGGCCTTTGCTGCTTCGACCGCGGGGTTCGTGATGCGCCTGAGCCACGTTTGGAAAACGACTCCGCAGACTTCGAGCAGCTCCGCCGCGTTGCTCAGAGCGAACCGGGTCAAACTTGTGATTCCCGCTCACTCCCCGTGCCTTTCCTGCTCCTTCCTAGCTTCCCCGCTCTATCTCTCACGCCCGCCTTGTCGCCGCCATTTTGTTTCAAACTAGGGCCCTTGGCCTTAGAGCTACGCAGAGAGTTTCGCCGCGCGATTCCTCGACAAACGATATCAGCGATATCCATATCACAGTGGTAGCTTGGAGCGAGGCTCGCTATCCCGGCCC